ACGGGCTCATTGTGATGGTGACTTCAGCAGAAGTGAGAACTTTTCCAGTCTTCAGGAGTTGGAAGGAATTTCTTTAGCCTCCAGGCAGGGTAACACCTTAAGTCCAAACAGATGTGATTCATGGCTGTGAACCATCTCAGTGGGGGAATCCCACGCCCTGCCACCCCACTCATCCTCCCTCCCACAGGTGCCTCCCCTCGCTCACCTGAATCCCCGCTGCTGTGATTCATGCCTGTCCTGTGTCTCTCATCCTCAACTACGATGTTCACTGAATACCAAAACAAGCCCAAGCCCTGCTGTGTCATCTGACACGTGGTTTGTGCTGCCCAGAGCTGGTCGCTGACAGAAGCAGAGGCCAGATTTTGAGAGGGAACAAGAGGCACTCTCTGTTACCACTCCCAACACTCCAAGCCCTCTAATAACCCACTTGGGAGCTATCGTCCTGTTTGAACCAGCCCTTGCTTGACCTGCCTTCTGTTTCCAGCCTACATTGCCTCCTGGCTCACCAATTCTATTTATTGATTTCCCCTGGTTTTCTGACTTAATGGCTGGAGATGATAAGGTTCCATTACATATTACTCTCAAACTACCACACCAGGGTTGTTATTACTCTTAGTAATAATGGTTGCTATTTATTAAACTCTTAAAAGAGGATACACATCCTGCTAAGGGATTTCTATGCATTATCTCATTCTAAGAACACCATGAAGTGGGTATTACTGTTCCATTTTACATGAGACATGGAGAACTTTACCAAGTTGGCCATGGTGTCCCAGTTGGAGAGGGGTAGAGAAAAGATTTCAATGTAGGTCCTCAGTCTCCACCTCCTGCAGGAAGGAAAGCCCAAGTGCTGTGGCTTTCCCAGATGCCCAGTAACGCTGTCCATGGTGCCCAACCAGGGCTTTCTGTGACCAGGATGGGTCTGCCAGGTGATGAGGGTGGAGTCTTTGTTTCTGTAATCAGTCAGACAGTGGGGACCAGGGTGTACTAGTGTGTAACTGTGTTACATTCACTTTGGAAGAGATGAATCAGAGTTGATTCTGCAAGATTTGCAGTGTGGATGACATGGACAACAAAGGCTCTGTAGATGTCCAGCCAAAACTGTATAGGTGAGCAGAGAGGCTATCCCTAGTTATACTGTAAAGATATTGCTACATTATAAAGAAGAGCTGAAGGCCTCAGTCTCCTCAACAAAAGACTTGGGAGCAGAGTATAGATGGGGAATCCCTGTGTGGGAGCAGACCAGGGCTCCCAGTGGGTCTCTTCATGCCCATTGCTGCAGAAAGGCTCAGCTCCACACCTTCCCATCACTCTCCGGGAGTGGCCACAACATCTTGGCTGGGGTCTGGTCTCGAAACGTCCTCCAGTTAAGCAAACATTGGAGAGAGGCCCGCGTCTCCTTCTGTTTTTAAAGCCACTAGAAGAATTTTTTAAAGTATATGTTTGCAATGCATCATAAATACATTCATCCTGGGGAATTGATACATATACATATCACATCTTGATCCTTTTTACTTTCCCTTTCTTCTATTAACCATTATTATTTTTTCAAAAGAAGAAAGGCAAACAGGATTACTTGAGCCAGTTTCTATTTTCAAATATTTACATTAACAAAATAGTACTTTTCAACATGCAAAGTGGCATAATTGTGTCACTCACAGAGCTAACTACAGGCCTTGGAAACAATCATGATCCAAAGTGCACTAAAGTTAACGTGGTCCCCTGGGGTGTGCAGTGATGGCAAAAGCTGGGTTGGGAACAGTGTCAGCTGTCTTTGAGGCCTCTCGTGAATTAGCAGAATGCGTGACACGAGTTGAGCAGGCCTCCTGGCTCCCCCGTGATACTCCCTGTCATACAGAAAAAGACAAATTCTGCTGTTGCTGGGCGAGATTCCCATAGGCCCATGTGTCCCTCTCTTTCTGTCCTTTCTAGAACATATGTTGTTTTTTAAAAAAATCAACGTCAACTGACTTTGAAAGTCAAAAAATGCTTTCTTATCCTAAAAGCAAAAGGAAAATGAAGCAAACATTATGGGCGGGCCTGAATCACTGATCCTTGATATGTACACAGTAATAACCCTTATCAACTGCTCCAGTTACCCGTGCTAAAGAGAGGACTCCAGAAATAAACAACTTATAAGTTTTAAATGACTTTTATTGTAGTATGTTGTTAGAATTGTTCTATTTTATTATTGGTTGTTGTTAATGTCTTATTGTGACTAACATAAAATTAAACATTTTCATAGGTATGTGTAGGAAAAAACATAGCATATGTTGTCCACTGGGTCTTGTTACATATCTGTCATGGATAAGGGGGGACCGTGCATTCTTCAGTTGCTCTCATAACTGCCCTGGGATGGTGAAAGCATTATCCATTCTGTTTGTGTATCAATTAAATTATTTGTCCAAGAGCACGCAGCAATCCACGATTAGAACCCTGAGCCTTGGACTGTGAGGCCCCAGCTCTCTCCAGCCTTCAAGTATGGCCATGCCATGAAGCCTCAGGAAGCCCAGGAGGAGGCCACTGAGACTGGAGGGGCCCGGGCAGCCACTCTCCTCCATGCCCATGTGGTATAGGGCACATTTGGGCTGCCCTGCATCTCTGCTGTTTCCTTCTCTTCCTGTTTCTTCTCCTGGCTAGCTTGTCCCTACTCTGCTTCTTGCTTATGATACTTATTTTTCCATCTACAGCAAAACAGTTCACATCAAGGTAATTGATGATGAGGCGTATGAGAAAAACAAGAATTACTTCATTGAGATGATGGGCCCCCGCATGGTGGATATGAGTTTTCAGAAAGGTGTAGTACCCTGTCCTCCACACTAACATTAACATTCTTTTATCCTCTTCTGTTTCTTTCTTTCTCCAATCTGTTTCTCTCTACTCCTTGTGTCTTCTACCTCTCTGATCCACTTTTTCTGTTCTCTTTTTCTCTTGCTTTCTTTTACATCTCCCTCTCCTCTCTCCAATTTCTGCTCCCAGCTCTGTCCTAACACCTGCCAACCTGTCACATGGTATCCATAAGAGGAATGCTCAAGACCCAATGGCAGTGTTTGGGCAGGGGGGAATAAGGAGAGAGAGAGAGAGAGAGAGAGAGAGAGAGAGAGAGAGAGAGAGAGAGCCTACAACCTAGAATATGGTACATGAAACTCTCAGCTTAGTATACAGTAAAGAAAAAGCCAGCTAACATAGAACCAGGGCAGCACTAGGGAACAGATCCAGTGCAGATTTCCACAGGGCCATTATTCCCAGGGATAAGCTTATAGTCCCACGAAGTTGAAAATCAGTGTATTTGAATCATGGTTCATCCCTCTCCAAAAAACAGGCCTCAGGAGTCATCTTATCCGCATCCCTACTATCAAGGCTTATTTCTGTCCCAGGCCTTGACAACTGAAGATACAGGTTTGAGTTCTAGGTTTCAGTCAAAGACCTACCTGTCTTACTCTACTGTCCCTGTGAAGAGCACCTTCGCAGGGTGTGGAAGCAGAGTTAGAATAGTGTGAGAGAAGACTCTGACCTCAGGACCAGCTTTCTAGCAAGTCCATAGGACTTCTCAGAATGGACGGAGGTGGCACCTCCAACATAAGTGGCCTTGTTCACCCCATAGCCTCCTGTCCTGGAGAGACTATCCTATTGAGGGAGCTGCTAGTTTGGAGGCAATGTCCCTTGGCTGAACCATCATTCATGTTCCTCTAGTCCAGGGCCATGGGTCCAGAGCACCCTGTTCTCATTCCACTGCAGTGTCCCTGTGGCATGAAGGATGATACATCTTATAGACATCCCTGGTGTCCCACATCTAGGGCCTCAGTAATCAGTGAGCTTTGCCTTCTGTCTGCTGAGCACGGTATAAGAGGTATCCAAGAAACATCCAAAAGGTGGCTCAAAAAAGTACTTGTAAAATACACACACACCACAAATACACAAGTCCTGTGCCCAACAAACCAGTTTACTATTTTATTGATACCAAAGCAGAGCTTGTCTTCAAAATGATTAGGAAAATCACAGCATCTGAGGAAGCCATTTATTCATGGACTTTGTCCTTTGAGAGTGTTTTTCACACACACACACTTAAAACAGAAAATAACCCCAGATCACTCATAGGATCTGCCAGCCACCACTGGATGAAGGACCAGGAGAAACCACCACACAGCAACCCCTCCATATGGCCATAGCCTGAACCAACAGAAAGCCAGGCCTCGGAGAGCAGTGACTTTCAAAAAACTGCTTCCCTGGGTTTGTGAAAAACACTACGGTCTGTTAAGATGAGCAACAACCTCCATCACTTTGTGAACTAGCATTTCAGAACCCAGCCAGGGACAATGATTAATACTTATTTCTACCACTGAAGCCTGCTATGAGACAAAGCATGAGAAAAAGATTAGAAGTCCGCCTCCCTTCTTCTTCCCTCCTCTCTCTCTATCTCTCTAGTTTTCCTTCCTCATAAATGCTTTCCATTCAATTTTCTTTATGAGGCTCATGTGAGAAGTGGGTACAGACACAAAGAAGGGACTCAAGCCCTGTGTTCCACTGATACATTTCCTGTTCCAAAGGGCTCTGGGTCATTCCCAGTGGGCAGATAGTTTACATGTTGCCCAAAGAAATGCCAGTGTTACCATGTGACACCCAATGGAATGTGCTGCCCAATGTACTTCTTACTAACCATCAGCAGGATCTAAAATAACTCCTCCCCACCATCACCCCCAATCTTCCTTCCCATTCCTTTCCTGTCCTCCTGCCTCCTTTCCTTTGCCCACCTGTCCTTACCTCCTGGCTCCCTTTCCCTCTCACCCATAAGAACACTGATGACCAAGAAGACCAGAAAAGCTAAGACTATTTTTCATATGAGAACAACACAATCCACCATAGTCCTGTCAAAGACCACCATGGCGGGACGGGGCTGCATGTGCCAAGTGTGGTGCGGAATGATTTTAAAGGCTGTGCTCCAGCTGACGAACCAACCTGCCTACCCAGTCGACACACTCTCTCTCTTGTTGTCCCTACAGGAAAACCATAAGGGTTAAAATAGTAGATGAGGAGGAATACGAAAGGCAAGAGAATTTCTTCATTGTCCTTGGTGAACCGAAATGGATGGAACGTGGAATATCAGGTGTGAGATTCTTTAAAACCAAACCACAACCAAAAGAAAAGAGAAAGAAAAAAATTATAAACTGGCAAATAATAAAAAAGAAAAACCAACTCTATTATTTCTCCCCCCTTTTCTTCTCCTTCTCCTCCTTTCTCCTTTTGACCAACAAACTTTTTTATTCTCTTCCCTCCTGTATTCTCGCTCTCACCCTGTTTCGGTATCATCTCTGCCTTTTTAGTAGTAGTTTATTTCCAAATTCCTCCTTTTTCAGCACTGTAGCCTCAACTCCTTGTTACCCCCAACGAGTTACTTCTGTGTTTCACTACGATTGTCCAATTACTACTATCCTCTGCACTTCCCCCCATCCTGTACCCCTCTACAGTAACTTATAAATGTGAAAGCTCATTGGTGGGAGGGGAGGAGAGGAGAGGAAAAAGAAAGGAATGTAATGTGTTGCATGCCTGTGCCCCTTCTCTGCCTTTGGCCTCTGCCACTCCTCATTCTCTAGCTGGGATTCAATGTTGAATGGTTGGGGATGAAGTGGGGATCCATGCTGCTGTGATGCTTTGACAGTTTTCCAGTGCATTCCTCAACCTCTCTTGAATGCTTGGCAAGCTATCCACTTGCAGAGTGGTCCATAGGCTCCTCTGCCCTTCATGGAGGTAAGTGTGTTATCCAGCTATTTTCCAGTTGAGGAGACCACAGCATGAGGAGGAATGCCAGCCAGTTGTCAGAGGCCACAGCTTCTGAGAGCTCTCTGAGAGAGAGAGTAGGCTCCTGAAGGGGGTCCTGCAACCTGGAATCCTGAGCTATTCATTGTCCCTTTAGCACCCCATCTACCCTATCCTGCCCTTCTTCATGGTCCAGGGCAAGGTACCTTATTCAGGTTACTTTAAGATAATGCAACCTCCACAACTGAGAGTCTGCAAGAGGAAAGAAGTGACTGCAGGTATAAAAATTCCCCTCTAGCTAATGGGCACCAGGGGTAAAAAAAGTAAGAAAGAACTGACACTGGACAGGCCCAGAGTATTGCCTTGTGAGCTTTCCAATGGAAATGACTCTGCAAGATGTTGGTGCTGATCGCTGAGAGACAGCTATCGGAGGCCGCTGATGGGTAGTTCATGGACACCTGCCTTTGCTCGGCATCTGCGAGTGAAGATACTGCTCAGAGCCCAAGAGACCCTTCCTTCCACACTAGAGAAGTGGCTCTCTCTCCTTCCTTAAGACATGCATCTCAACATAGCTGTCGGTGGTTCATCCCTAAGGAACTGGTTATTTTGCAACCAGGGCACAAGTAAGGAAGGATTTCTTCTCTTGAAGAAAATTATTGGAAACCACTAATTTGAAAGTATTGGAAGAACAAATATGGGAATGGGAGAGATTGCTCTTGGGATATACCAAAAGGACCTTCATGCTCCTCTTCAGGAGAGAGATACTGCTGAGAGCCTCATGGAGAACAGAGCAGTGAAATCTACCTGTTTATCTGAAAGGTTATCATTCTACAACTACTTCACATCTACATGGCAGGGAGCAGCATAAAGCTGGCACATCTAAGAGATTCTGCAAAGACACTTCAAAGGCTCCTCTACAGGTCTTCTTAGATTTGTCTGTTTGGTCAGTTCTTATCATCTGCTGGAGACTACCTGCAGAGCTGAGCTGTTCTCGTCCCATACTGGTTTGAATATATCTGCTGCTGGGAGGGCAAAAACCCTCTCCATTTCCATTGCTCCCCTTCTTCTTGCCTACTTAATTAGATGTTGCCGTCAGCCTGATGACTAAAGAATGTCAGAAGAAAGTACCTCTTGTTCCATTTCTTCTCAAATTGTATTCCAGCCAATCTTCCAGTTCCCGCCACTATGAATATTCTCAGAAGTTGTCTTAGCACCTGCCCTACCTCATTCCCACCTTGCTTGTGCATTTACTCTGCATCTTCATGACTGGTTGGAAAGAGTAGGCCATCGGAAGCTAGCATCATCAATTTCCATGATCCCCACTACTTAGGTGCAGATGAAAGCACTGCAAAGATGGGAGAAAACAATTAGAAGTCCATACATGCTTTCATTCTACTAGTAAAAAGGGTCATTTCTGCATCTCCTAAATCCCTACCAAAACATCAGGACAGAGAGTGACTTCAGGTAAGCGCTGTGCTCTTCAAGAGACCTGGCCAATTTTGAACACCCCTTTTGAGGAAACCTTTCTTTATTTGAGCTGAATTATTTTTTCAAGCAGATGTTAGCAAATCCCTGGTAAGTCTAGTCTTGTGGGAGAGAGTAGATGAGAACACAAGGATTTCAGCAAGCTATCTGTATGATATAACCCCATATCTTCTGAAGGAATCAAGATGCCAAGATGGAAACCACCCATAAGAAATGTTAATTTCCCAGGCTCCCGCCTTGTGGTCTAGGGGGTTAATTTTTAGTTTCTGTAATTCTTCCCAGAAATTGGCATCAGACCATAAGGTAAAAGGTCATAAAACCTGATTGTGTAGACTCAGAATCAAATGAAAACCCATCCTGATTTGCAGAATTCCCTGCTGTTCTCAGAGTGAGAGACAGTACTGTGGAAATTGTTTTTCATTATCACTGCTGCATGGGAGAGCCTTAATTCAGAGCAACATAGTCTCCACATGGTCAAAATGACAATTGTATTTTTTTTTTAAGACTGGATGTGAAATGGGAAACTCTATTCTTGGCAAACAAAACAGACTTCAGAGGTGATATGAAAAGCTCTGGACAATCCTGGGTAGGGAAAAAGGGGAGCAATGAATAGAAAATACAGTTGCCCTAGAGTGGAATAAGTCCAGGAGCCTAGAAGTAGACTTCTGAGAGCAGCATCGTTGGGCTGTTGGGTCTTGCCCTGGATACTGGAAATCTTAGGTTGGGAAAGGAAAACCCTGTTGCCAAATAATGGGGTCTATTTATTCTCTTTCCACATCCAGGGGCTCATCCTTATAAGTTCAAGGTACTTTCTAATTATTCATAGAGCTACATTCTTTCCTGCTTGCTCCTGGAGTATAGAAACACAGATAAATGACTCTCACCTGACCCTGTAGATCAATACTGGGGGAAATTCATCTCTGGCTTCTCTTGTCAGCAGCAGCAGAAAAAACACCCTCAAAGTATTGTGTCACTCTGTTGGCCTATCTGGATCTCACAGACCTGTATATAACTGCATAGCAGGAAAGAAATCTCAGGTTCATGGAGATGGTGACCAGAGAATGATGCAATTCTAGCTGACTGCAGGCCTTTTCACTGTCCTGGGCATAAGCCAAGTGAAAACCAGGGCATCTGGACATTTTTGGAGCACCCATCCTTGATTGGCCAGAGGTGCACTAATCTATTGGGATCTTCAATCTAAACTGGTCTTGGGGGCTAGGAGGGAAACTGCCATGCAGACCCATAGAAGGAAAAGACTGAATGAGCTCTCTTGCCATTGATACACTACTTGTCTGTCTGCTGTCTGTCTGTCTATCTATCTACCATCATCTATCTGTCTGTATCTATCATCTGTTTATCTTTCTATCATCTATCTCAGTGTAGTGAAGAGATACATTGACCCATCTCCTCCTTGGAATTCTAGATAGAAGATATGAGAAGAAATCAACTGCCGTTCACCTGTTTATGTGCCACAAAGATTCTGAGTCCACAAGCGTCTTCAGTGGCTATAATACGAGATTATGGAACCTAGGCCTAAATTGTATTCCTGGAGATTCCAAGAAAAAAATCTCAGAACCCCACACTCATATACTCATACTTTTTTCTTGTCCATCTCCACCTATCACCAACTATAACAGGGCTACATAACAGGGTATTTCCAGACTTTATCTGAAGTGCTAAGGAGTGAGAGGCTTTACTAATGCAATCAATATGAAAATGTGGTGTGCAACAAGAATTCTTTTTAACCCAGAAGTCTAAAAGAGTTTGGCATAAATACATATTCAGGGGCTAGGGAGAACCTGTGTTGAGTATATCTTTGACTCAGTTTTCCAGTACATCCATTTAGGAATCTTGCATCTGTCATCTCCCATCTCTATATAGCTCTTGGTGTGAAAGTTTCTCCATTCCATTATATCTGAATTCTGATTTTGCTTGCCCTTTCTGGAACAGAAAGACCACTACCCAGAGATGCAGCATTATAAGGTCTACAGAAAGACAACCACCAAAATACATAGCAAAAAACAAATCTTTATTCAACAATGAAGTTCAGAGACTTTGCAAGGGACTGGTGACATGAAACAGTAGGAGTCTGTGGCTTTGAGCGCTGGGATATATCTATAAAAATGACAGAGGCCATTCAAGGGAAACACTCTGCAGGATTCCCCTTTTCACTAAATCATTCCTTTAAGGGAAATCAACATTCTGCCCAGAATAGCAATACCATTTGTAGCCATGAAAACATGGGCACTGCGACGCAGAGCACCATCTGATTGTGAAGTTAGGAATAGGAGTCATAGAGTCCACTCTTGCACACTACTAGCTGGTGCCTGGCACTCCCATTCAAGCCCTATGGTCATGCTTTGCCACTGATAAGCCAGCTACTCTAGCAGGGCTGCAACTTCCTTAGTCTCATGACAACTAGATTCTCACTCCTTATCAGAATGAATCATGAGAGACCAACTCAGACTCTGTCCCACCCACTTGGTTCCTCCATCCTCATTCCTCCATCCCTAGCTCTCAGGGTTACAGGGAAGGTATGAGAATAATGCTCCTAACTGCTCAGTGGCCTTGCCAGCTGCTTACACATCTTGCTGCTTCTACTACTATGCATGCTAGAAATGCTGCTTTTTGCATGTTTTTCTGAGCTCTTGCCTACTAAGCTCACTGCTGGCTTCTGTGCCAGCAACCACAAAGCCTGGAGGTGCTTTCAAGATGGGACCTTAATGTTATTTCCTTTTCTTCCCCTTGTCTGGTATCCATTTGCAAACAGCGCTCCTGTTATCTCCAGGTAAGAGGTGTCTCCCCTCTTTTTTAGTGGTTTAAGATCAATGTCCTTTAATTTACTTAATAATAACTATAGGTTCAAGTTAACCTGACAAGTTCTCCCAAGGACTGGGAGACTTGTTTCCCCTACATGAACTAATTGTCAGAAAATAGACAACTCCTTGAGTGTCATTTCTCTGACTGGATATTTCTGGGATATATAGCTGGTTCTCTCTAGGATCAGGGACCAAGAAGATAAATGAAACTTATCAAGAAACTAGTGGGTCCTAGACTTAAGACCTGCATAAGACATAGAATTAAGACCTGCATTTTAATTCATCTGCAACTTATGTTTTGGGGAAAAAAACAGTGACAGCCAGATCTGGAATCTTTTAACAGGATAGTAATGAGATTTTCAAGAAAGTACTGATCTCAGGAGATTCAAGGGAAAATAATAACAAGAGCTGCTGTAAGAACATGAAAAGCAAGTTTTAAAGAATCTGGAACTTTACTACTTCTGGAGATCTTCTATTTCATCACAGATGAAACCTGAAGTGCTATAATTTTAGTTATTTGGCAGATTCTTAAAGGCACAGGTGCCATAAACAACAAGAAGGGAGGTGGAGGAAATGTTCTGGCTAGAAATAGACATTTTAAAGAATTTATTTTAGAGGGATTCTCATGCAGAATCTAGATTCTGTGTAGCATATACACCTACTTTGAGACTATGTTTGCATGCATAGAAACCAATCACAAACAATATCCAACTTCATGAGCAGATAGGAAAGCATTTTCCCATATCTGACAATACTATAACTCTTGATGCAGACAGAGTAGGTGCTACAAGACAGTTTCAGTATATTTTAAAAGAATATCTTATATTTCATCATTTTTTTGAACATAGAAAAAAAGTTAAGGTCATTTAAGAGGAAAATCTCTTGCAGGGTTCATTGGTGTTCAGAGTCACCTACAGCCTCCCCGCTGAGCTCAGGAGGAGGCAGTGTACAGAGTGAGTGAGGACATCTGCCTCTTTGCAGCCTCAAGTGAAAAGTGTAGGTGACTCCTAGATTTTCCTTTGGTGGAAAAAAACTAACTCCAGTTTTTTTGCTTTTTGATTCCTTTTTAAACCAACAAGACAAGGGCCACACCCAGCCCTGTGTTCTTCACTCTTCTCCCAGGGTATTGATCTTACTTACAGCCCTGGGCCTTTCTTCACCTCACTCATCTTCTTGCATGAGAAGAGACTTAGTTTTCTTTGTTCCAGCTGACACCTCCACCCCACCCCACACACAGACATGCATACACATACACAAAAGGTTGTGATTTAAGCTTCTTTATAGTTTTCACACATTTTCAGATGTCAATAAAAGCTAAAGCGAGGGTTGTGTTTTCTAGATCTTTCAATCTGTAAACCTTTAATTTAGGGGAACTTGATTAGGTTTTAATTCTACTGGGAATCTCAAATCTTTATTTTTAACTTTTCTAGGCAGATAGGCCAACATAACTAACAACAGCTCATAGTAAAAGACAGAAAATAAATATATTTCTCCTGAGCTACCCAATCAAGTTCAGGGGCTTTGGCATGAGAGCCCTGGTTGTATCACCCCACCTCTTTGTGAGGGTGTATGCACATATTCGCAACATATCCCTGTCAGGCCTGGCAAGCTCTTTGTTCTTCCAATATTTGTTCAGTCTTCCATTCTCTTCATATTCTCTCTCTCTCTCTCTCTCTTCCGCTCTCTCCCTCTCTTTCTATCTCTCTCCCCCTCCTTTTTCCTCCCTCCCTAGTCCTAGAACTGAGAGTTTGTTTAGTCAGTCTACATGTCAAGATCACCTGTCATTTATCCTCTTTACTTGCAATTCTAAGGAGTTACATGATCAGAGTCACCGTAATTTTAGGTTTGAGATATAGTATTCTTTCAAGAAATTAACTTAATCTGAATTTAAAGCTACCAGCATTACAAAAATAGAAAAAGGCAGAAGTTCCTGCCAAATAAGACACTAAATCAGAGTTTATGCAAAAGCATGTGAAATCAGTGAATTAGCAGATATACACAGAGTGCCTCTGTGAGACTATGGGAATCCAAAAATTGGTTATTTGTCAAAGAGATTTTTGCAGAAAGCTAGATGGAAAAAGTGATTGTTACCACAGAGGTGGACAGGTCAGTAGGTAGATCAATATCCTGCCAGATGGATGTAGTGCTAGATTGATAGCTAGTCAAGAGGTTAGACTGGTGCATTTATATGTCACTGGAGAGCTCATTATATTGGATAAGGTTCTTGTGACACATGAAAAGTGTGACATAGGGGGAGCCAGGGAAGGAAGAGTGGAATGACACTGTCACTGCCAAGATGGGCATTGTTATGGTGCCAAAACCTGCATGTAGAGGAAAAGACTACTCCATTCTTTTAAGGAATCTCTGTATCTTTTTCTAAGGGCTTTTTTCCAGAGTGCCTTGTAGTCTGGTTTCCAGATTTACTGGCTTCATACATAGCCAGAACTGTAGATGCACTCAGATTTACCTTCAGAACCAACTAATCAGAGAATCAGAGTCAATGAACTAAGCAAAGTTAGGTGGCTAGAGGGTATCTGCTGACCTTGAGAAATAGTTGTTTCCAAAAGTGGCTACCAATGCTGAAGAGGGGGTAGCACCACGGACAGCTCCCCGCCAGTTTGGGATTTTCTCCTAAGCTTGGTGCCAGAAACACTGAGTTAAAAAAAAAAAACAACAGTGAGCTCAGACCCTGAACATTCTCATCCCATTTTCATTCAGCTCAACTGAGAAAATCATTATATAAAATACAAGATTCTCTGTCTGGTAACTTACACCCTTGGCTTACACACTTTGCAGTGAATTCCTTTCATTGCAACCTCAAGAGCTTGAGTCTCACCCCTCCCCTCACTTCACTAATTCCCCTGGTAGAAGGAAAAGAAGACCTTCTTGGCCTCTGACCCATTTTGTCCTTGAGATTATCCAAGGACTAGAGGATTCCTCTGGGAGGTTTACTGTGTGGAATGAAAGCAATTAAGGAGCCGAATAAAAGAATTAATTGCATGTGAGAATGTGGACTTGGATGGGAAGATGTTTAAATGAGCTCTGAAAGAAACAGCCTGGCAAAAGCGATTTTCTAATCAAAGGAGAATAAAAAGATTCAATCTCTATTTCACTCTAATCCAGAAAACATGTCTCACAGCAAAGTGGTCTTAAAATGGACTCACCAGCTGAAGCAGAAAAAGTATCTATCTGTTCAACATGAGAAGGGACCATTGGCAAGTGAGTCAAGATGCTGAGGGACACAGAGAATGCCTCAAGAGAAAGTAAAGGAAGAACTTTCTTTTATTTTGGTTTTTGAACAAGTATTTGTGTTCCAGAAGAAATGTACCTGATTGGTACAGAAATCCTGAGATCTCTTATTGGTATAGCATGAATTTTTTTTGGCGGGGCGGGGGGATATCTTCCAAGTTTCTCATTGTAAGGATTATATTCACTTGTATGAAATGTAGATATCCCTGGAAGTATCCCCTTTGCTCCTTTATAGAGAGGACAGCACCAACAATGCTGAAAACAAATGTTAATGTCCACCAATAGACATTACTTTTCAATAAATGTGCCTCCAAAAACTGTTACATAAAGTGGTTGGCCAGCCAATCAGGTCCAACCATTCAAAATAATTAAAGGTCAAGAGAGTTGGCTTTTCTTCATAGTGGCCCAATATCTCACTGAATTACTTGGGAATTTCACTTGATGCTGCATTTTCTCGAGGGGTCTTTGGGTTGGATTTCCCATGCACGCAAACGACAGAAAAACAGAATGCTTGCCCCAGGCCTACAAGGACCCTTTCCAAGTCTAATGGTCATAATGTGTTCACCCTGCAAAGTAAGTGGCACCAAATAATGCACAGAGTCTTCATTCCCAAGACATTTGCTTTGTATCCATTGCCCATGGATACATTGCCCATAACCAGAACTTTAGATTTCGGGGGAATCAAAATGGTACTAAAGCTAGTCTGACTTTCTTTTGTTGCAGAGGTGACAGACAGGAAGCTGACTATGGAGGAAGAGGAGGCCAAGAGGATAGCAGAAATGGGAAAGCCAGTATTGGGTGAACACCCCAAACTAGAGGTCATCATTGAAGAATCCTATGAGTTCAAGGTCAGGCCACTAGTGAGATCTAATTGAATAATAGATTAATTTGTGTGATGGGGGCAGAAGACCTGAAGTTTGTTCAGGTTCATCACTGGATATGTGAAGTTAAAACTGAAGAAATCACTTACCCACCCCAAGTCTGTTTCCCCACCTGTAACATGTTACAAATAGCGGGGGCCATTTGTATGCTAGGAATATTGTGAAGAAAAAATAACATAGGATACCCTAGATGTATCATCACAATTTTTAACTGCATTTTTAAGACGAATATACTAAAACTCACTACTGCAGAGCAAGAATTATCGACATCATATCCTTATTCTCTATTTCATTACTCTCAATATCCAATGTCATAAACCACAACCAAAGAAATGAGATTGTCCCAGAGCATAGCATAACTTTCAGAACCCCTGGAATGCAGGGTATCTTTCATTCCTTTGAAGCACCAAGTCTTCATTGGTTCTGAGCATTCTAACCTCATGATTCCAAGTTTTTCTTTCCTGCCAGACTACAGTGGACAAACTGATCAAGAAGACAAACCTGGCCATGGTTGTAGGGACCCATTCCTGGAGGGACCAGTTCATGGAGGCAATCACTGTCAGTGCGGGTAAGAAGGGTCTCAAGATAACATTGCTGGGAAAAGCAGGAAGTCCCCAAGAGGAAAGAGCAGGGACCTATCAGGGGCTCACCAGTCCTGGAAGAGTGCTGTGTCCAATATTCCTGGCTCTAGTACTAGATGTTCAACTATTTCACTAAGTCACATTGGAAGAGAATTGTGGGTTAACAAAAGAATTGTGGGTTAATTGTGGGTATATCTGGCTCCAAATCCTGATTCTGCTCTGTGTACTAGAGCAATTATCTTCTCTGTTCCCCATGCCCTTATCCAGAATGGGAGCTATAGCTACCTTTCTTAGAAAAGTAGAAAGATACAGTCAGGTATAAAATATGTATGCAATAAATTCTGGTCTCCATCATTCCTGTCTCTCATTAACTTGGTTTCTTTCTTCTTTACAATGGGGGGATTCTGATTTAGAGTTGTGGGGGTCAGGACTTTGCCAAATGATTTGCACTGACTCTCACAAATCTCTACCCTGGATAATTCCAAATCTCTCCTGTATCAGGACAGGTCCCTCCACAGTGGCCCAGCACAGTGCGGGTCCCAGAGGCCTGCAGATATGTTGGAATGGGATTGGATGGCCAGCCCTATATTACCCAACAACAACACTGAGGCCTCCTTGTACTGCTGAGCACTACTGGCCTTGTGTTTTTTTCATGAGGTTTTGTTGTCATAGCAACCCGCAGGGTCACATCCCCAATGCCCCAGAGCCAGAGCAAAGCACAGCCAGGAAGAAAGATTTGTTACTGCTGCTGCTGCTGCCCTACTTTCACATCAGTCCTTCTAGTGACCCCTCTGATGACCCGAAACTGTGTCTCTCAAGGGACGGTAAATGAAATGTAGGCCACATAACCTAACAAACTCCTTTTAGAACTGAGGGAACTAAGGCTGAGAAACAACAGAAAAATATACCCCCGTTACAGATTTTCTTAATATCAAAGCTGGAATTAGAACCCAGATTCCTGACTTCTGCTCTTTTGAAACCAGCTTCTGCCTGTTATGAAAAAGCATCACAGAGGCTGCCCTTGACAGCGTGCCAGGGAGCCTCTGCACAATCTCTCCTTCTGGGCCACTGAATGGGTACCTCTGCCCGTGTTGCTTGGCAGGGACAGTCAGGTCCCAGTCCCACTGTGTCTCATGGGAGATTTGGAGGATGGCACTGACTCGTGCATGGTCTGAAATGACAGCCATCCCTCTGGGGATGGATAATGACCAAAATCAAGATGCTATTGCAGCACCCAGATCATAAAACTCAAGAGGAGCCCTGTTGGCATCCAGTGAAGAACAAGCACACAGGCAATTGGGGGTTTTGTTTTGCTTTGTTGCCTAGGCAGTAATACACAGCCTGTATGGCCTCCTTTCTTTCTCCTCCACTCTCTGTTCTTCTCATGTTCTCCTGACCCATCTCTTAATCTCTGTCTCTCTACCTTGTTATCCTGCCCTCTCTTTCTCACACTCACTTGGTTCCATGCATTCAGACTGGCCAATAACCAAATTGTTTTCCATTGCCATTTTCAGCTCTTTTTTAGTACCCATGCCCTGTGCCTTATCAGCTACCCAAAGTGAGCTGAGGGCCATGACACCTGTGCACTGGGCTAGACTTGACTTCCTTATGCATGAGGAGAGTCTGACATTGCTGTTCTTCCTTGGCCTTCTTATCTTGTCTTCAGCAGGGGATGAGGATGAAGAGGAATCAGGGGAGGAGAGGCTGCCGTCCTGCTTTGACTACGTCATGCATTTCCTGACCGTCTTCTGGAAGGTGCTGTTTGCCTGTGTGCCCCCGACAGAGTACTGCCACGGCTGGGCCTGCTTCGTTGTCTCCATCCTCATCATTGGCATGCTCACCGCCATCATCGGGGACCTGGCCTCCCACTTCGGCTGCACCATTGGTCTCAAGGATTCAGTCACAGCTGTTGTTTTTGTTGCATTTGGCACCTCTGTGCCAGGTGAGAGTGAAAGGTGCTCTGTCTTGTAAAGAGGGTATTACCAGTTCAAATGATCCCTTCACTCTGCCTCATCTTCGTCATCATCTCAGATTTGCACTTACGAGAGCCTCCGCTCTTATGGTGAACAAAAGTCAAAGGGATTACTGATGTTAATAATAACAAACATTTCCTAGGTGCATTGAAGTGACAGACACTGTGTATGCTAAACAACTTACATGTTCAATCCCTGCGATACTCACCCAAATTCTATTAAATAGGGTGAGTCATTATCCCACATGACAGATGAGAAACTGAAGTCCACGGAGGTGAGCCTACCTTCCCAGTCAGTGATCCAATTTCTTAATCTATACATTATATTAATTGATGGGACAAAATATGTGGATACTGTTCTTCCACTTATCGCTGACAATCTCTGAGAGGCTAAAGATTAGCCTGCTTGAAGATGTCACTGCAGAAATACTACATGCATTCTTGGCCTCCTCTGCTTGTATGGACACCTGTGAGAACAATGTGTCTCCTAGGAGGATGGGCAAAGGAAGCTTAGTGAGATTTGTCCTTTCCCGTGATGCATTACATACTTTTTATTTTCTCCTAAGCATCCAGAGACAAAAGGAATAGGCATTAATTAATTCACTTATAAGATAAATATTTACTGAGCTCCACTTATGTTTCATACAGTCTTATGCTAGTTGCTAGGATTATTCTGAGAAGCAAGACAAACATGTTCCCTTTTCCACCACAAGTTTATAATTTAATGAAGGAAAGCACACTTGGATACTTTAATTAAAAATCATCTTGATGATTCCATGAAGAAAAACTTTAAAACAGGAAGATATGGGCAAAACCAGGGTCAGGGATGGCTTCTGAGTTATATGGAAGCTGGGCCTGAGTGACAAGTTGGAGTTAGCACGTGCAGAGAGCTTCTTGCCAGGTTCCTAGCTTAATTCACTTGTAGTCTCCAGTGCATCTAAGACCGGAACTCCTACCAGCTCCATCTGCCCTAAGGAGAAGCAAAAGGCATCTTCTCGTGGGAGGTTGGGGAGGCGCATGCTGGCTGGACCAAGGGAAACCCTTCCTGTAAAAAAAGCACATACCTTCTGGAGAGTAACTGAATCTATGTCCCACTCTAAGGAAACATCTTCCCCAAACCCTAGCACAGGTGGGATTATATGTTCATTAGTGTGCAAAAGGTTTGGCTATCAGAGAAAGGAATCAAATGATAAGAAATTAGGTGGATGATGTAGGGAAGGTTTTGTGGATGTGATACCCTATGATCACTGTTCTCCCAACCTTTGGTGGAAAGGAGCAGATATGGGAAAAGAATAAATGTGGGAAGAAATAACAGAGGATCAGAAGCAAAAATGCAAGGTCATGAGCAAGGAAGGATGGTTTTCTCAGGAGATCTGAGAAAATGGGCAATGATGAGGGAAGTCAGGACAAACTGAGCAAGGAGATGGCTTGGAAAATGTCCAAGTCCTGGCAATTGGTCCAGAAAACAACTGACAACATTTGGGAATTTGGGAAGGTTAAGCTATGGTCTGTGCATCTGTTTTCATAGCTTTGGTTGAAGCTCTCTGGATGTAGGTCAATGGTATAGAAAAACATTTATATCAGGTTCTAGGATGAAGTCTTTTGCCAACTTCCTTTGTGTCCTTGGGTAAATTCTTTGCTCCTGATTTTCCTTGACTGTAATATAAAAAGGTTGAGCTGGGTATTCCTGATGATCCTCCCTGTCCCTGTAATCCGTACCAGGACCTACAGTCAAATATCCTTCCAGGTCCTGTGATCCCTATACTAACTACAACGAGCTCACCCTACATGAACCCATGGTGGTCCTCTAGATGTCCTCTGCCCCCAGACATCAATACCCAATCCTGAGTCCATAGGTATTGCTCAGTCACCATCAGTGTTGTGAGTACATGTGCCACCCAACAGCTACGATCAGGCACCTACTCTAGGCAGCTTCCAGAGATGTCAGAGTTCCCTGGGAAGAGATTATGAAATGGCAAACTCCCTTACTGAAAAAAGGTAGTCAAAAGAAAACAAGAAGCCCCCTTGTTAAGTATCAGGACCAGAGTGGCTCTTAGGGATCTTCCGGATTCCTGCAAATGAGAAACAGGAAGCCCAGACCAGTAATGTGAGTGCCCCATTAGTGGCAGAGTTGGTAGTGGCCTCTTAGCTCTTATGCTAAGCTGCCTTTTGGTCATACGTGAAGATAAACTCCACAACTTGGCCTCCTGCCAGCTCCCATTTGTCTCTGTTTTTTCCAGATACGTTTGCCAGCAAAGCTGCTGCCCTCCAGGATGTGTACGCAGACGCCTCCATTGGCAACGTTACAGGCAGCAACGCTGTCAATGTCTTCCTGGGAATTGGCCTGGCCTGGTCCGTGGCCGCCATCTACTGGGCCCTGCAGGGACAGGAGTTCCATGTGTCAGCGGGCACGCTGGCCTTCTCAGTCACCCTTTTCACCATCTTTGCATTTGTCTGCATCAGTGTGCTCTTGTACCGACGGCGGCCACACCTGGGCGGGGAGCTTGGTGGCCCTCGTGGCTGCAAGCTTGCTACGACGTGGCTCTTCGTGAGCCTGTGGCTCCTCTACATACTCTTTGCCACACTGGAGGCCTATTGCTACATTAAGGGGTTCTGAGTCACAGAACAAGGCCTCCAGCGGGACAGGCCTCAGACTTCTCCTAGGAGAAGGGCACTTCCCCACCAGTGACCATTCCAGGTTGAGCAGCCCTGGAGAGGCAACATCAGGGCTCAAGCCCCAGGGACTTCACCTGCCCTGGCAGTGCACTGGAACAAGTCCTAATCAAACAGTCAGACTGAGGAGACATCCACCTTCCAAAGTATTTCCTTAAATATAAATCAACAACAGCAACAAATCCACTTCTACCCCATCCTCCCGCACATGTCCCAAACCCACAGCAAAGGTCAGACAGACTCTTTTTCCTCCTTCTATTTTGCCTTCTAGTTGTTCCCTTGCCTCTAGTTTCTTTGGGGGCAGGGCTTCTCCCATCTGTCCAATGTGATGCAACATGATTCTCTCATTCAGCTTGGCAAGGAGTGAAAATGAATCCTGCCTGTGTGGCTAGTTTGGAGTTCTCTTTTTCATTGTGACCATTATTGTGGTTGCTTTTATTTTTCCACAAGGTTTTTCTTATCTTGTCTTTTCTTCCAGAAGTTAGGGACAAAGGTGCCATAAAGGAGCTCCAAGTCTGAGCCAGCAGATGGGGCATGGGTTTTCAGGCACACATACTCTCACTCTTAGGAGGTCACAGCTATTACTTGGCTCAATAAGATCCTATCATTTCTCTCTTTTTTTCTCTAAGCTCTTTGGAGGACTGATGATGCTTAGGTGAAGTAAGCTCAACTTGGGGAGCAAGAGGAGCTTTATTTGCTTGCATTGAAATCAAGTCAAAAACAAGCAATGGTCCTCCTTGTCCACATCTTTCCATTCTATATGCCTTGTTTCAGTGTTTTAGGTGCATCCTCCTGCAGAAAGTCCCACCAAATGGGTACTTATGGGACAAAAGTTGGAATAGTACATGATGGCAAAAGGCAGCTGAGCAAACAACGGGATAGACATGCCTTCTCAAATATCTCTGGCTTTGCATGTGAGGCAGGAGAGAAGAGGTGTCCAACCAGTGAAATCTTTAAGGGAAAAGACTATGCAGTATTGAAAATGTCAGTGTTTCTGAGAAATGTCAGCTTCACCACCACCTCGCTTCCTTATGCACCACACTAAGAGGGCTGACTATATTTCTTGAAGTAATGCAAGAATTTAGAGATTTATAAGAAAACAAGGGGATTCTTCCACCTCTCCTGGTCCTGAGGCCAGATGTGAAAGAATTTTCACAAGATAGGAACTGGAATTCCTCATTTATTCCATGTTCCTGCTTGTTTTTAACCTTCATGAAGCACTTTTTCCAGATAGTGGGGTATCTCCCCCCCACCAAGAAGAATCTTAGTCACTGTAATCCCACGGAGTGTAGAAAAAGAGACTGACATGCCCTATGGACCTTTTCCCAGTGGATTTTTGAAAGGACCTGGCTTTAAAACACACAAACACAAATAAACACACATATGACATCACCACGAAACTACCCACAGAATTTTAGGCTTTCTTCATTGACATGAATACATTTTCTAAGGGGAAAAATAAAAACAAACTGTTTAATTTTAAACACATTTTTTAAGAAAAAATAACTAAAAAAGAAACAGTGCTGGTGTCATAAGCTATGTTGACAGTTGCCAGTGGAAATACTGAGTTGGTTTAAAAAAAAAAAATAAAAGCTCTACTTATATCTCTCTACATACAGCTTGCTTCTCTTCTGTTTCTTCAGTGAATGGTCCAGGGGTCTACCCTGGTTCTCTTCTGAAGCAGATGTGACTGAGGAGAAGGTTCGATCTCCTTTCACACTCAGGCACCAATGAACCAGACATGGTACTTCCTTTTTCTTGGTACTGGGGTTCAAACTCAGGACCCTGTGCCTGCAAGGCAGACGGCAGAACCACTGAGCCTAACCCCCGGCCCAACATGGTACTTTTTAAACAACAATATTTCAGAGAAATGCCACCTGACAAAACCTGGACTTGAAGAAGCTGGAGTACATAAGTAGCAAGAACTATGATGATAAAGAGGAAAGAGTTTTTTGTTTTAGAAAGGAAGAATGGAATGGGATTCTAGCTAGGAAACCAGTGCCCATATTTATTTCCAGCAAACATGTATTCAACATCTGTCATTCATTCAACAAACATATTTTGCACAACTTGCAGGTATTGAGCTGCATTCTGGTAACACAAACAAGAGTAAGATATAGTTTCTGACTGCAAGAAACTCCTGGTGTCTGCGGGGGAGGGGTAAAACTTGTTTTAATCAGTGCTCTTTGAGTTATAAGACACGAACTGATTATAGCCCAGCAGTCACCAGCCCTAATACTCATTCATTACCTCACTTCTCACACCTAACTGGAGCTTCCCTTCTTTTATGTCTGAATGTAAATTCTCAACTGAGAGAATACAGCCATTTCCCTATTCCCAGACGGCCAGTTGCAGAAACAAAAACCTTTGTAGGAGGCTGTCTTGGTCGCTCGGTGCCTATGGATTGTTTTGTGTGCATTGAGTATCTACTACTGGCTCAAACAACTTGGGTAAAGAAAGGAGGGTGGGGGGGTCACACTGTGTGTACAGTGACCCTTCCCAACACTAAATAATGGGAAGGAGCTTGCAAAAGAGTTTACAAACACCAAGCTACAAGCCAAAGTGGCTATTCTATGTCATCAGTGCTCTAAGAGCAGCCATGGTGATACAATGGAAAGAAACGTGAACTCAACCTAGGGGAATTGGGAAAGACCTTACAAGAAAGTAATGCTTAAGTAGGATTTTAAAAGACAAATACATAGTGATTTCCTCTGGTGAAAGGGCTTTATATTGAAGGACAGCCACTGAAGGAATGGCATGCTCAAAGGCACAGGGTGAAACTGGATATGGTGGGTCACAGAATGACAGTAGTTGGCACTGCTAGAGTATAGAGTTCAAGAGGGAAAAGTAGGTGAACCTGAACTGTGGTCTACTTGGGTGATTGAGAAGTTTCAGGCTAAAGAATTGTTATCGGCTTATATTGAAGGTGTTTATCTACTTTTTCTCTCTAGACTATGCATTTTTAGTTCTTGCCTAAGCTTAAACCTCTGGCCAAAAATGAGGCTGAGAAAGCAGCATCAGGAACACGAGTACTTCCTTGGAAGTGTTTAACTAGAGAGCAACAGGATTTATAAGTAAAATAAAAGAACAACAAAAAGAGCAGGCAGGAAGAAAGCCTTGGCTCAAGGCTCTTTTTTTTTTTTTTTTTGCCAGCCACGAAGTTGAAAATTAGAAAATGCCTTTTAGGGCTGGGGCTGTAGGTCAGCAGCACCTCAACTGCCTGGCAGGTGCGAGGTCCTGAATTTGATCCCCGGTACCAAGAAAAAAAAATGCCTTTTAGTTGATTAAATAATAGGTGCCAAATCATGAAATCCATTTGTGCCTATCTCTTTCCCTCTCGGAATCATTTCTGGACAATCCAGATGTCAGGCGTTATCAAGAAAGAAGCTGGGATGAACCACAGAGAATGCGGAGGAGGTTGAAGGGAGCAGCCTAGGAACCTGAAGACCTGAGTAGCCTAGATGCCACCAGCAACTACTTCTGTGAACTTGAGCCGATCCTTCTGCTGGATCACAGTGACAGCCTTGGAAGCCAATTATTTCTCACTTCAATATTAAGACTCTAGAATACATACTCAAATTGTGTGTATGTGTGTACATGAGTATTTGCATATGGTCACATGATAAAACTGCCTGACAACCTTGACTGACCTAATATTGCAGATGTGCCTTTGCAGTGCCTCGGCTCTATGGCCTGTATATTAATCAGTATAAAAAGACTGCCAGCCTTTGCCTTTGTTTCCCAAGGGGCTTCCTCTGTTCAGTTTCGCTTACAGCCCACATTCATTTTCAGCACCTTCTACTGACTGAGGCACAATATTCCCGTTCTTTTGTCTCACTTATTCTTTTCTTTTTTCATTAAGTTTATTGGTACATTTTAGATATACAATACAGTTACATTCATCGTTGGGATCTTGTACCTTTACATGATTCCTCTTGGTTCTTATTTTTTCCCCATTTCCCTGCCCTCTCTTCACCCCCTCCACTCTTCCCTATTTACAACGACTTTGTTTTCATTTTTACCTTTTCTCATATTTTTTCTTTTTCCCTACACCTCCCACTTCCCCTACTCCTTTAGACCTTTTCTTCCTATTTCACATTATCAATTATACCACTTGAACCTTATCTACACTTTTAGTTTTTCACACCAGAGAAACTATTTGGTATTTACACATTTATGTCCTACTTATTTCACTTAAGAGTATGGCCTCAATGTGCATCCATTTAGCTATAAATATCTCTAGTTTCTCATTCTTTATGGCTGAGTAGTACTCCACTTTCTAGAAAAACCACATCTTCTTTATCCAGTCTCCAGTTGGTGGACACTTGGGCTGTTTCCAAGCTTTAGCTATTACAAACTGTGCCGCTATAAACATGGGTGTGCATATATCACTGTGGTATGATTCT